GTTATTTGGCGTTACAGGAAACTGTGCTGCCTGCAGTAAGCTCATACCTGCTTTTGAAATGGTGATGAGAGCAAAGGACAATGTTTATCACCTGGATTGTTTTGCGTGTCAACTTTGTAATCAGAGGTAAGAGAATTTCTTGGGTCTGTTCCATAAGCTAAGTGCTAATTCGGCACTGATGCAGGCATACATTCAAGTGAGGAAGAAACATCTACCAGTTATGGAAACCCAAGATTGAGAGTAAGACCTGAATACTTATCCTGGGACTGATACAGAACATCTTTCATGACCTTGGCCAGAAAACTTTTTGTGCCTCAAATCCAGCATCAGTGAAAAAGAATAATGTTACTTCCTCTCCTTCAAAAGGCTGTCTGTCAAGTTTAATTAATTAATATTTATAAAGGATTTTGAGACCCTTTTCTGCAGAAGAGCATAGCAGTATCATTTGTCATTAATTTCACTTTAATTCTTCATTTTTATCACATGTATTTCTTCTAAAGCACATATTTTTTCTTCCTGTTGCCAGAGCTGCAATCATTTAAATTTTAAAGATGTTGTTCCCACCATTTACTCTGTAGCAGCATTGGACTTCTTATGCCATATTTTTATTTCCATAGCCTAATGGCAGGTTATAACAATCCCAAGGACCCAAGCCTGACACTTTATTCTGAAGCATCACCCATATGCTAGTTGCAGAACATGTGTCAAAAATGGTAAAATTGTAACAATTTCATTTTTGGCACCTGAATACAGTTGAACTTACAGCAACTACATTCAGCCTGGTGGCCAAACCCCACCAGAGATTTAACCCAGAGCTCCATTTCTGACTCCACAAGAGCTACTAGCCGCTTTGCCAGTGACTTCTATAAGGTCTAGGAAATGAGAGAACCAATTATGTCTGCTCCTAAATGTGCCTATTATTTTCAGTTATTTTTCAATTACATGATCCTATTTAGATCATGTAATGTTGTATAGCATTCATATTTTTTTCAAGTGGGAAGAAACACAAGATTTACATTAATAAAAAATTAGATAATAGTCTCAACATGACAAAGTTAGACACAGCTTTAAATAAGCTTTGTTAACTCACCTTGTCCTACAGTGTCTTATTTTGTAACACTGCAGTCATTTAAAAATCAAACATCCCTAAAGGACCATAAAATGTACAGCTGCTAATAAGTGTAGCACAGTACAATTATGCTCTTTTAAAAAAGCCAAATTGACCTTTTTCATCATGTTGCATGGGAAATTAAAATACCAGGCAAGTAATAACCACTGCTTAAACTATATAATAATGCAAAGTAATTATAGGTTCTAATGCTATTTAAAGTCTGATATCAATTTTGTCTTGCCACAGAACTAAGAGGCTGTATTCTGAGCAGGGCAGGCAGAGCCTCCTGTAGTACCCACTGAAGTAAAACACACTCACACTCCCAGGTCTCATTTCTTAAACCCTTCACATCCCTTTATTTTTTCAAACCATGGTTCTAGTATCATTATTAAAGTGCCTAATATATTTCTGTTGTTCGCTTCATTTATTACATGCCATAATGGGGCTGCATATCTTTAGTGCTGGTTATGCACAATTAGCACTTAGTTATTGTCTTGTCACTTCAGCCCATACAAGACAAACTTCTTTAATGTGAGAAGTCAGCTAATCTTCATCAGTCAAGCAAAGAGACAGTGTTTGTTACCTGGAGTGCAAAAGATTTTTATCATAGTTAGCACTCTTGGATCTGTGGAAGTGGACTTTCTTTTTCTCCTCCTCCCCACCAGAAAGCGGAGCTGTTGTGATTATTTTTAATATTCCTCTTTTGCCATTACAAGTGTGAACTAATGTACAATTTCACTTTTCAGCTAATATACTCCATACTGTGCCCTAAGGCCACTGATCCCTCTGGAAAAGTGCTGTTAGATGCTTCTGAAACAGAGCTTTCCTGGGATATTTAATAATTCTTATGCTTGTCATTCCTGAGCCTTCAATCTAGTCTTTTATTTGATTTTTACTTTGCATGTAGTTTGGGCAAAGGGTTGCTGAAATAGTCTTACAGGAGAGACAGGCTGGGAACAAAAGAATTGATTTACCTGAAATACAATCTCGTTCATCTAGTCAAAACAGGGAACAGTTCCAGAAGTTTCAAAGAATTTCAGAGGTTCTCAAAAGTGGCCCTAATCCTGATTATATTGCAGTAGCTCTCATGGAGCCTAATAAAACAGTCTGCCTGTAGAGTACCTTTCTTCCTCACAATTCGGGGCTGGTGGCACTCTGAAGAATTAATTCTGTTGTTTTTTATAATAATCCCTATTCCATGGATGCTCTAACATAGCTCTTCTGTAGTTCCTGTGGCAAAGGATCCCACTGACTACATTCTTTCATTAATAAATAGCTTTAAATCTTTGGATTTTCATTACTTGTATAAAAAAAAAAACAAAAAAATAAACAACCCAGGAATGCTAGACACCTGACACATCACCAGTTTTGGAATTTCTAGTATCTATAAAACATCTTTCTCTTTTCTTTTAAACTGAATACTCTCGTCAACCACCATGCTATTAATAATTTCTGTTGCCCTTCTCAGGATCTTTTTTCGTCCTCTAGTTAAGCTAATCAAAACCAAACGGCAGATTCTGAGTGAGGATGAGTTTGTAAGATGGCAGTTTGACTTTATTTATTTATTCCATGCTTCCCTTTCGTATGCAAAATAATGTTATTGAGGGGTCTTAGGTCAGCTGTTCTACTCCAGCCACTCTCCCTAATGCAGAATGTATTGAAGAGAATATTTTTATTTACAAACACATCAGCAATATCCAAAAGAGATAGCAAGGCTCACCAGCTATTGCAAGACCTGTATGTTTGACCTTATTCCCCACATTCATATTCTCTTTCCCCATTAAATTTTAAATGCTTTGGGTCATTCTGTATGCCAATAAAAGTACAACATATATGGAGTATAACCAGTGCATAAAGCTTTCTGTTTGGTTCCATATTTCAGATTTTCAGTTATCACCTACCATTTAGGTTTTTTTCCTAGCCAAATATACGCAGTGATCGTGACTAGAATAAAGCATTTCTTTAAATTTAAATTAAAAAACTTTTTGTCTTTGCCAACACTGAATTTCTTCTGACATTCTATGCCTGGTTGCTCCTTCCAGCCCCTTCTGCCTTCCAAGCCAGCTAATAATTATATTAACCCACATCTCACCACTCCTTGGGGGGAACTGTTCTTCAGGCTTGCTATGGTATGACCCATATATTCCTACCCTTTAGATAGCTGATCCTGGCACAGTGAGAGAAAGGCCTGCCCTTCTTTGCCTACTGCTTTTTGTGAAAGACTTGGAGATTTTTCTGCTTTTGTGTACACATTCACTGTTTGCTTTATGATTTTTGAGTATCTACAACTTGCCATGCAGCTCAAATCTCAGTATGGATGGTAGTTAGACCCCATTAATTTCAGTGGACTTCTGTTCACGCCATCAGTGACCTCTGAAATACCTCATAATGTTCCTGTCCCCTTTTGTCATCCTCCTGAAGGCTACATTTTCAAAATGAGAAGAAAAATGCATTGTCTCACATATGGCATCCTAGGAAGACAGACTGTAGATAGGACTGTAGACGTAAACAGGACTGAAGGAGATCTCCTGAGCCTGGTATCAAATAGGCACTGTCTCATATTTTCACTTTGTTAAAACTATTCAGCCCTAGGATCCAGTTGTTCCTCCAGCCAGTTTTGACATATTTTCTCCATTTTTTTATTGACACTGATGTTTAAAGCTGTAGGGATTTTGTGAACATTAAGCTCTGCTCCTAGCCTAAAGGTTTTAACATCCCCTCATCTTTCATGTTTCTGTCCAGCTTACTCCTAATTTGAAGTTTTTCCATCTCCTAAATACCCACAGAGCTCAGTGACAGTCATCTCAATAGCATTTGTGCTTCCATTTCTTCTCTGTAAATATACTAAACTTCTCCTCAGAAGCACTTCACCTCACATTGGCAGTAGCCTCAATACAGTTAATTTCTGCATTAAATTTAAAGGGGGAAAAAATGGAAACAGCTGGAAAAATAAACTTGTAAACAGACACTGCCTTTCACACATTGTCAGGTTGCATGTGTGTGAGTAGCAAAATGGAGTGGAAAATCTTGCGAGTGGGCTCAGCTGTGTCTTTGCTTGATGCTTTTGACTACAGTGATGATGTCAGTCTGCCTTCGGCTTTCCCAGTTTCTGGAGTTTTCATGTCCTTCCTTTCACTCTCTGTCGGCTGCTTTAGCAGCTTGTTTCATACTTCTGAGATATTCTCTCTCTGACGTTTGAAGTCAACTCAGGGTATGGCTTAAAAGCCCCATCTGCTATCACCGGGGGGTGTTTAAATCAACTGTTCTTTCTTTCTATCCAAAATACCCTTTATTTTAATGGGAATTGGACTGAAAATAGTTACACACTCATTCAAATCAGTGTCCTGATGTAGCTGTAAACACTTACCTCCAGTTTAAGCTGTAAAATGCCCACACAATGCTGCCTTTGTTCTCTGTCAGGCAGGAGGGAGTGAATTCAATGCCAGGGGCACCCGTATTTCAAATACAATGTTGGATTTTTGCGTGAGTGGTCATTTTATAAATTCTGAAGACCTGGATACTGCTTATTTTCACTGAATGTCTCTCAATTTAGAATAAAAATTAATACGTTTTCAATACCTCATTAAAAAACTAAATGAATAGGATGCCAAGATGAGGTTTGTCTTAAGTTGAACTCGGATTCTGTGTGAATCTTAATGTACTGGTGAAAATATACAAACCCAGGCACAGGTCCCAGTTTCCAGCCTTTGACAATAAATGGACATTTTGGCAGAACCTTAGGATTAGTAAACTATAGGTGTGGACTGATGAACTGTGATGTAAAAGAGAGGCTTTGTTCTCTTAGTGATGCATTTAGGTTAACGTTAATTCGAGTTATACTCAAAGGAATTTTATGAAAAAAGAGGAGAGGAGGAAAAGCAGAGGACAAGTTACATCAATGATTGCACAAAGCAGAGGGGAAAGGTATGGGTGTGCTAAGTCTGAGCTTTCTTTATCCTAGAAGAAATCAATTAAATGCTTCCAGATTCTGTTTCTTTCTGCAACAGCAAAGATCTGACATTACCAGAGGAGGCACTTCACACTCATCTTCATTCACAGAAATATTTCTCTTGCTTTCTTAAGAAGTCTTTGGTACCTTGACACATGTCCTGTACATCAGAAAAGATGTCAGACAGCAGTGAGATCCCCTTAAATACATGTTCTGAACAATAAATAGCAATTTCTCAAAACTGAAGTTTTATGCTTCTTGTGATCAGTCTAGGCATACCTTTCCCTTCCAAACAAGGTGGTAACAGAGGTCATTTTGTAATACAAATGGCCTTCCTTTTACCATTGTAAAATATGACAGGAGTTCTAGGAAGTAAGTTAATTATAATGGTCATTCTACTAATGTCACAGTTGTGTCAAAAGTATTATTACCGATTTATGGTTGTAAATCCAATCTGGCATGTTAATGCAGCCTATTGTATATTTTTTCACTGTTCGTCTTACCTGCTAGAAAAGTAATAGTCTTGCCTCGTTATATACTCCTAACCCAATGGCATCTTAGTATGCTCTAGATTCCATTTGATACACCTGCCCAATCTGTGATTTAAATCCTCTTCCAATTCCATATAAAAACCCAGAAACAAAACCCAAAAACCAACAACAAACAAAAACCACACAACACTTGCCAGAGGTCAAAGGCGAGGCTTGAATTTATTTTTCCGTGTTACAGCTGAGACAGGTTTAAATCCTTGAGTTTTCAAAACCAATTTGAAGTAGTTGTAAGATGTAAATATTTGATTTCAGAAGAGGCTAGATCTGCTTCTGAGAGTCAAATAAGGCTAAAAGTGTGGATGGACAGAATTTGTCATAATTCATCCATCCACTTTCCTTATCTCATTGTACTTGGGAGCTAACATGGCACGTTAATACGTTTTTTACCTGATGCTTACTTCTTTGTCACCTAATGAGTGCATAATTCACACATTTGATACCCAGGGGCACACACAAGTCTCAGCATCAGTCTCTGCCAATGTGCTTTGGTCGCTGAACTTGCACAATATGAAAATGGTTTCAGAATTTGGACTGTAAGTATCGTAAGTAACAGGTTTTCCCCAAGGCACAGAGGATCAACCCAGCATGCAAATGCAGCCCCATATGAACCCAGAGGATGTCTTAGCATGCAGACAGACCCCCCACCCCACAGGTTATCACACAGCCAAGCATGTCTAGACAGGCCACTGGCAGCCTTTCCACAAGCCAGCTGTACACTTGGAAGGTAAATGATTTGTGGAACTGTGTATGTTTAAAGCTACTCATGCATAAAGCTGTCAAATGCCATGTAGACATAGGTAGAGCATTTCTAGCTCGACATATTAACATAGCAAAAGCAAAAGGCATTGACACTTTTTATTGGGAAAGGCATCCTGACTCCCTTGTGTAGCTGTTGCAGTTTAATTCAAACCGTGGCACTTCTTTGAGGGCTGAGAAACAAAATCCTTCAGCCAGTGTTTTGATGCAAGCAGTATCAAATATCAAGTGTTACTGTGTAAGTGAATTGCACTACAGCTGTGTAATTTTCATTTACGAAATATTTTAAGCAAATTAGTCTGCTAAGCTCTGCATTGCACTGGAACACAACAGAATATGTAGCTGAATAACATTCATAGTTCAGAGTTAGTGCTTTCTGCTGGGTGATCAGAGGACCTGACCCACAAGGAGAGATGCCCTGTTGTGTAACATTCCTCTGACGTTGTGGGCGCAAGCTGGGCAGGCATCCCACACTCATTCCCTGTCAGTAATCTGTGGGCAAAATGTAATGGATGATGTGTCACAATACACAGCTTCCCCTGCTTTAGTCCATATTAATCTATGTGTTCATCTAAGAAGGACTTGGGTTTTTTCATTTTTTTTTTTTTTTTTAATGTGACTTCTTTGGGGAAGACACTTTCACCTCTTAGCACTACTTAACATTCCTTTACCTAATCGGTAAAGATGCACAAGAGACTTTTTGCCAGCACTGTTATAGATGAACAAAGATATTTAAGATGGAAGCCAGAGAAACTGCCGAAGAACTTTTTTGCTTCAAGAATTCTGCATTTCAGTATACCTACTCAACATACTTTTGTGTACTTAGTAGCCTAATATAGCAAGACTGGGGTGGGAAGGATAGCGGGAATCTACAAATGCTATAAAAGAGTCTTGACCATAAATAACTTTAAGATTTCGGGATCATTCCATAATCTCTATTTTCAATCAGCAGCAGCAGCAGGCAGTAATCCTACAGAAAAAAAAGTCCACAAATAAACAAACCAATTTTCCTTTAAGAGCAGAGCTAATTCTTTTCAATCCACTTTTTTATTACACTATTTTCCCTCTATCTATTTAGCTAACATAAGGATAAATTTCCAAAGCTACCCAGTTGGAAAATAAATGGGTTCACTGTTTGTCTAGCATTCCAGTCTTCACAAATGTAAATCAGTCCAACTGCTACTCATTTAAACCTCCACCTTCACAAAACATTAAAGGACTGCTTTCCATACACAATTTAATCTGTGACAATTCATCAAGAATTCTGCTTGAACATCATTAGAAATTGACTATCTGATAAAGACAGGCCACTATCAGAGGCCAGGCGGGTCAACCTGTGTCATTTACATAGTTTTACTGGGTCAGCTACAGCAGGCACCACTATTTGAAGGTTAAATTGTTACAATTAAATACATATACAGCTATTCCCATAGCTACTCTGCTGTTAAATCTACCGTAAACAACACAAGCATTTATATCTGACCCTAATTGTGTCCAAGATGTCACCATTTGGAAATTATACAAAAAAGGACATTATAATCCGTTACACATTAAACAATACTTTATGTGGCGAGATCCATAATTAGCTGCTAGAAACTGGTTTCATTTATTCACATCAGTGTTAAGGGGTTCATTTAGGTTACTTTCTTTCATTTTAATTGGAATAATGTGAGCAGTGCCTCCCAATATATTTTATAGCTGCAGAGTTCACTGTAAACAAAGGCACATAACCCTGCCAAGGCAGTCACTAAGGAAACTCTTTTCTATGCGTTGGCCCTATTCACTTGCTCCCTAAGTATCTTCAAGAAGATCAGCTTTGTCAGGGGTACGGGTTGAGGGGGGTGTCAGTGAAGAGCCTTCTTATACTCAAGCATATTGCTTAGCTGGGAAATCCTACTTTGCTCAAAGTTTGAAGCCAGCACCCAGCCAGGAGCGTTAACATCACATGATGTTCCTACTCATCAGAGAAAATCAAATGAAATACCTCAGTAGCGTTTTGTAGCAATCAGGTCATTCTGATGCACGCAATAGTATAACAAGGTAGGTATACTGATACCACAAGAGAGGGAGCAGTTAGCTCAGTAACTAAATTTATAATCAGCTCCTACAAGAAAAAAGAAAACTGTTTCTCTGCCTACCTGCCTGTGTGTGTCTTGTTTGTACCACAATATACGTAAAGCTGTGTGTATGCTAGAAACAGTTCTTAGAATCGTTGGTTTAAATCAATTCTAGTAAGATACCCAGCTGGACTATAACAAGAAATTCTTACTGTATGCCTGCACAAATGTAACGTATCTCAGATGAGCTTCCTACAGCACACGATCATTTTGTTTTCCTTCTGATTTGTGTGAAAGCAGGACATTTACTTTTCACTCAACTCAGTAGCCTGGGATATTAATTCTGTTTCATCTGTGTGCTCCTGACCTGATGCAAGACTCCCACAGTGTTCGGTGGGATCTGAATGAAGCCATTGGCTGGGGAAGAAAAAGCGCTTGAATGCACTAGATGTTGTTGAAAACACAGGATTAATTCTGATACCAGAGCGATTCGTCTACTGGGCTTTCATGTACGTGAAAGACATGTGCCTGTGCACGCCGCGACAGACTGCAAAGGTGTGAGCTGCACGGTCACTACAACGAAACCGTGAACACTTGTTGTACAGTCCTTATGTGTAAGATCATATCACATCATTCATCCTGACATTATCTTTTTTTCTCCCCTTTATTATTGTAATTTCAGATTTTGCGTTGGAGACAAATTTTTTCTGAAGAACAACATGATTCTGTGCCAAACAGACTATGAGGAGGGTTTAATGAAAGAAGGTTATGCACCCCAGGTTCGCTGATCTGATGCCACATCATTAAGAATACAAAGCACTATGTTCCTTTATCTTTTTTGCTCAACATGTATATAAGAAATGACACAGGAACCTACTGAATAGCATAGATATAGGGAGACAGAATGGTTGCGTGAAATAAAAGGCGGACTGCATCTGTATGTAGTGAAAATTGCTCCAGTTCAGAGTTGAATGTTAATTAAAAAGGTACTGTACATACAGCTGGATTCTTTTTGCTTGCTCTTGGGGTTTTTGGTTTGTTTGGGTTTTTTGTTTCTTTTTGTGTCATTTGGCATGAGATGTTTATTTTGGACTATTGTATATAATGTATTGTAATATTTGAAGCACAAATGTAATACAGTTTTATTGTGTTACCATTTGTGTTCCTGTTTGCTTCTTTGTATTGTTGCATTTAGTACAATCAGTGTCTAAACTTACTGTATATTTATGGCTTTCTGTATCTACCAGCTATTTTAAATGAGCTGTATCTTTCTAGTAAAAAGCATTAAAGAGCAAATCCCAACCATTATTCTACACTTAGAGCTTAAGAATACTGTTTACATTAAAACTATTTAGAAAACTAATAACTCTAGCAGCACCTGCTGCTAATGATGCTATGGTTAAGGGTCTATCAGCACTTCTGTTACAAGCCTCTATTTTTCAGGGGTTAAGCATCTGCTGTTTAACTGAATAGATTTTCCTTAAAGAGCACTTTTATTTTACTACAAAATTTTGCAAAACATACCTGACCGGTTTGGGATATATTATAAAAGGTGCAAAAGTTAATGATTTTGGGTGCTGCTTTTATGCCCCATAGGCATTCAAAATGCCTGTATTTGATTATTAATTTAGCTGGAAATTAAGCCCTAATGCAAACCAGTGCCTCTGGGTATCTTATTTTATATATATATTAAAAAATGTATATGTTTTTTCTGAAATCATTTCACTTGAGGGGAGGGGAACAAGAGAGGACTTCTGGTCATATTGATTTTTAAAAGTTCTTAAACTCTGGGGGCTCTCTCTCTCTTCCTTTTTTCTTTTGTTTTTGGTTTTGTTGTGGTTTTCTTTTCTTTTTTAACCAGGGCTTAACTCCATAAAATTTTCCGGGGTTATGTCCTCAACAAACCCTGGAAAAAAGTGAAAGTAGAAGGCACCGTGAACAGCCCCCTCTGAGGGGCTGCTTACATGAAGGAAATGACCCTGAGCTGACACTAGGAGAGTGACTGGTTATTAATTACCCACCTCCCTGAATGCTGAAGGTAATTTAAATGCTGTTGTAGATGGGACAAAACTTTGAAATACCGATACAGAAAGTGAGAGTGACCACACTTTGACTGCACAGGTACTTTGCTGTTCATGCCAACATCCTACAGCTTTGTCCTATCAATACTGGCAATTAAAATCCTTCAGACAGAGGTGGAATCACTGCTGACAGCTACTGCTGGCAGTCAGTCTGTTTTCTAGGAGAGGTGGACCTCTGTTTTTAAAGCCATGAAGCTATTGCATCAGCAGGATGTCCCTAAGTGCTCATGCCCCTGACAGAACTTACAGGTGTTTGGCAAAGTAAAGCAGGATGAATGTTTTTAAAAGTTGTTGAATGCATATTTAATTCTTTTCTGTTTGGTACTGTAATCTATCTTGCTGGGAAACAGCCTGCATTTTAAACAACATAAAGGGGGAAAAAGAAAAACAGGAAGGAAAGAGAAGAAACCCACTATACCGTATGTTGCCATGAAGCTGAGATCATTGCTTTTATATAGACGAAGAATGCTCACCCCTGCGGAAGTTGAGTGCTGTCTTTCCCTGCTCTTCCTGTCCTGTCACACAGTTTCAACATGTGTTTCCTGGGGATGGGGGAAGAAACTTTGTAATGCAGTGGGGTAATTCCTCTAGCATATGGTTTGGAGTACACTGCGCAGTGGTTTGACTTAGAAATGGATGTTTAGTTCTAATGACTGTTGTTACTGTGTGGTTTTGTTTCTGGCTGTGAACACTTTTAAGAATAAGCATGGCTCACAACATTTGACTTTGACTCGTACAAGACCAGTAAGATATGCAACCACACCTCAAGCTATTCTTGTTAATCAGAAGAAATAGATCCCCATAATTTTTCAAATTAAATTTAGCCCTATTTTGTGGACTATCTTTCTTCCTAACCTTGAGCACAAGTCTCTCTTCCACTCCGTTTTACAGTCCCTTAATGTCTTTGCGATGACGAAGCAGTTGATGTCAGAGGTACTCTTAGGCTCTTCCAAATTTACTTCAAGTGCAATAAACAAGTTTGTCTTTTCCATGAAGGTGAGGATGGCCAAAAAAAAGCAAGGATCATCTCATTTTTACTCCAGTCTCAATATTTTTCTCCAGCCCTTGCTGTGTCTTTCAGTTAGAAACCAGAAAGATATCTCTTGTGTTTTTCATGAGTAGACTGGACAGAAATCCCTGGTTCAGAAATAGGGGTGGGGAACAGGAAAGAGGGGACCTTGGTTCTGCCTTGACTTGCTGTAAGCTTGGGCAAGTCACTCAATATCTCTGTGCCTCAGTTGACCCTGTGTGCTGAACAGGGCTAATGCATACACTGCTTTTGTAAAGCATTTTTGGCTCTTCAGAAAACCAAGAGCTATGCATGCAAATGTTACCAGCAGCATTCTGGGAGAAGCAGAGCATTCATATGTGCAGTAGGTAACCACAGATCTGAGGCAGGAGAGCACCAAAAACAACTAAGCCAATGAAAGGCTTTGTCGGGGAAGAAGGCAACTGCCCCCGAATAGAGCTGTAAACGCTAAAGCACTCTCTCATTACCACAAAGTGCCACTGCTCACCTCTCTATGGTGTAAATTAAAACAGTGGAATGGGAAAACAGTGGCTTATCATTACATGCCATGTTACTCACATGTGCACACGTGTTTTGGGACATATGCTCAAAATGGGGAAGAAGAGGGTGATCATGTTATGGAGAAAATAATAGCTTCACCATTCTATCAAACTTAATTGACATAAGGATAAAAAAATGTTGATTGATACACTTGTTTTAAAAGCGCTGCAATGGTGCAGCATTGCTTTGAGCACTTTAAGCTCTTATATCTTATTCACATAAACATCTAAAATCTGTATATAGAGGATACAGTATAAATTTAGATTTGATATAGGTCATAGATCGATTATACACATTTTTCTGTATTTCAAACGTCAATCTTGACCCGCTGTTAATAACTGGGAGTTAAAGTATTTAATAGAAACCTTTACAACTCCAATGAAGTATAATATCATAAGACAACGTTGAAGAGAGATTTATCTGTCAGGCCATTTTATTGATCTTTTTGACAGAGGCCTACTGACAATTTTTTTGGGTTGCTTTTAGTTGTCTACCTTAGGTTTCCTTCTCCATCACTGTGTGTGTCAATATGCTCTGTCTGCATACAACAAAATGTTCTGCTAGTGACCATTGCTCAGTGCTCATTTGCCAGGCAGGAATGCTTCCACTTAAATTTCCTGTTGTTAAGGTATTTTAATCTTTGTCTGTACAAATCTGCAAGTTTAGCCAGGCAAAAATTATAATAATAACAACAATAATTTTTTTAACGCTATTATTCTTGGATTGCTGTTTTTTAAGCCACATGGAAAAGTACAAATTAGCGAACCTTGATTTTTCAACTGTAGAAAGCTCCTCTGCCAACCATAATCTGTCTGTTGCCTGCCATGACCAGTGATGAATCAAGACAGCCTGGATTCTGCAGAAGCAGTGACCAGGGCTAAAAGTTGATGTGTTTCATAATTGTACTTTTATCTTGCTTAATATATTTTCTGGTTTGATTTTTTTTTTTTTTTATGTGCACCTTCTTGTGTCTTCCTGCATTCCCAAAATGCTCAAATTTATGCTTATGTAATGTAAATAAAGAAAAATCATCCAGCAACCCCTCAAATGTTCGAAATTGCCTACATAAAAAATGAATTGCAGAAAATAGATTGAAAAGTGGTCAGTGAGAAGGGAGACTGTAGGGAAAGGAAACAAACAAAGAGGGACTGTGGCAAGGTTTCGCCTTACAAAATACTTTAAAGGCTTCTTTCCATGTAATATACAGCAGCTTCTTATAATTTTCTCAGCAGTAGGTAGTTTACAGTCATCTGTACCTAGAACAAATCATGTCAAAAATGAAGGTCTGTAGTGATTGCTGGGTATAATTTTGTACATTTAGCTGATTCTTCTGAAAGCTTCCACTGTGCTGCTGTTGTCAGACTAAATTATCAATTTAGCCATTTGTTGTTTAATGAATAAAAAACTCCTATGGCATTGGAGATGTTGTGGTTTCAATAAAGCAAAAGCTTTAACAACTCAAACTACAGAAAGCAAAGTGTGTACTGTATATCAGAACAGTGTTTTTATTCTTTTAAATACCACTTCAGATGAAAAAAGCCAATTACATATTCATTTAATACATTTCTCCACCTTCAGTCTAATAATGCAGACCAAACCTGTTTACTGTTCAGTATCTTGCAAAAGGAAACCTAAATACAATATGTGCAAGGTAATAGGCCATTAGCACAAACATGCTCCCAGTAAAAACCTTTTGTGTAGGCACCCTTTCTAGAAGCTGCCAATTGTGGGTGACAGAAGTATTATAAAGGAAGTGATTTTAATACTATCTAAGGCATTAAAAGCTGAAGAGTATCTGTTTAAAGCCTTAAAGTAGGGGTTGCATGTATTTAATACCTTTTAAAATGCCCTTCTGCTGATTTATATTCATCCTGAACCTGCTAATAATGAGTATACATAAGCAAATACCATCTTCCACCTATTCAGCATGTCACTGATATGAAAGCCCCAGAAAATATCTCACGTAATCAGTGTGTTCAGAGAGTTATCTAGCACAAATTACTCATTAACTCAATAGCACATAATAAAAAAGAACATCAATTAATTAATGAGTCACCCTCAGATCACTTTGATTACAACACAGCTCTGTTGAAACAGCAGTTATAAATGGAGCTGCCTCTCTTTATTCATTGTTTGCAATTGGCCCATTATTTTGCAGAGACCAGTGTCATATTTAACACATGCCTGCAGGTAATTGTGTGATTAGTTTCATAAATGAAGATGCAGAGGGAGAACTTGGAGTGTCTTGCTCTACAGTTGAGTCTGAAGATGCAGGAATACACCGTACCTCCTGCAACCTGCCATGCCAGCAGACCCCTGCAGTGCCCATGAGGCCAGCCTGCCTATGGACTGCAAGGTCCTAGTTGCAGGACAACACTCAGAACCAGTCATACAGACCTCCACTTTAATCTGAAGATCTCCAAGACCTTGATTTAGACCTCCCAACAGGCCGCATTGCTGGTATTTCACAGGGAAGAATAGAGAGGCAGAGACATTTAAGTGGGGTGCCCAAGATTATTCAGCATGTCTGCACTTCTCAAATTATTACAAGCACGACTCAAAACCTCACACAACCACCCTGTCCTGGACTGCGCCCGGATGAGCTTCAGTGCTGCAGTTGGAACAACACATCCAAGCTCTTCTTTGATGCTCAGGGATGGGTCA